TCTGTGTAAGCGGATACGCCATCCAGCCGTCATCAATTTCTGCAATGGATCCTCCATTCTCGACTTGCAGCACTGATGTGAGACCCCCCAAGCTGGTAACTTTAGAGGTCACGGATTTCTCAGCTGGTAGTGCAGAGCTGCTGTTACCTTCTACATGCCGGATTCTTCTTGGACGCATCACTCTGTCCGAGGCTTTTGCACTATCTTTCAGCGGGAAAAGAATGTATTCATCCCCAAGCAGAACACCATGAGCGGAGCCTTTCCGTAACATAAATTGTCCGTTCTTCTTGAAAATAGCCGTGATTTTGTCGCTCGGAAAAGAACTTTTGTCGGTGAAAAAAGACGTTCTTTTGCTCCCGTAGAAAACTGGGCTCTGGTTCGGTATTCGAGCATGGAAGCGAGCACGCAGATGCTCAAACAGTGAACCATCGGTAACAGCTATACCGGTCTGTCTAAGTTGCTTCAGGGCTCGGAGCAAGAGAAAAGAAAATGCTCCACGTTCATTGGGTCTCCCCGCAACTGGGAGGTGTTCCGGATCTGCAATCTCACACGATTTCATAGTTTCATCTACCACCTCTTCGGCTTTTTGTAACGGGGTACAGGCACAGAAGATCGTGTAGCCCTGAGGATTCGTTATCCAGTGAGGAATGACTTGAGAATTTCGGAAGGCGGAATAAATCGGTTCAATATTCTCCAAGATGGCGTTTGGTGCAGAGAGGTCGTCAGAGCCCTCCGTTGGTTCGATGTAATTGCTGAAACGGAGTCCATGTGCTGAACCGCGCTTGGTGGCACCAGAGAAGCAGCAATCAAAGGCCACAGTAACATGTATTTTCTTATTCACCATCTCTTTGACAAGGTTCGCCACGACTTCGCCAGGCAATTGTGATACTCCTTTCGTGCTGGCGTAGAAATTGAGGAGAACGTCTTCCGCACCTTTGCCTTTGCTACCATGTCCAGAGTAATGGATGTACACATTGTCGCCCTCTTCGCCATGCTCTATGACACGTTTCAAACAAGATATGAAATTGCGACCAGAAGCCCGTTCTTTGGGTGCTTCAGGAGGTTCCTCAGTGCCCTCCGTAGGATGACTTGAAGTCAATTTGAAGATATTGGCTGGAGACACCTTCGGAGATATCTGAGTCTTAAGGAACGCTTCCATGTCTTCGACGTCAGCGACGCATCCTTTGAGTTTGTTGTCCTCTATACGGTGCGGCCCGTAGTACACAACGCCCACCAGTATTGCCCAGTGTGTCATTTGTTCGTAGATTTGGATGCAGGCTTGATAGACAGTCCCGACACAGCCTTGGTGCGCTGTTGAATTATCTTAGAGAAGTATATTGGCGGGGTTGGGCTCCTGCTCCCCATCTCGGTTGCTGCCTGATAGATGCTGTGTGACGTGCATGCCTCACCGGAAGTGTAGGTACCGCTCCTCACCCGATCAGAGAAAACCCTGATCACCAAAACTAATTAGGAATAACTGTCACTACTTGTTAATATACGTACTCTACATCTTGAGTTGACCACAGACTGTTCATCTTAGTAGTAGGACAGCTGCCTATCAAAGCGTAAAAGCGTAGTAGAGATGCATGCCTGGCGCGACTTCGTGCTCTGGGACAAAGCTAATCGTTGCTTGGACAGTGACGAGCCTTGAATTTAAAAATGCGCAAGCCTGAGGTTGGATCGTGGCAACTGTTGCCGCTTTCAATGACGGGACCACAACTCCCGGCCTGAAGGGGTTATCGTTCACGGCGTAGATGAGACTAGTTTACTATATAGTACAGTAGGCCGCAGATGTCCATACCTTACCCTGAAACCCTCACCACGTGCTGGCAGCTACGCATCATGGTCCAACATATCGGGTAGCGATGGCCTTATCAAGCCATCCTAGTAATCAACAACACGCTGTCAGACTCCCAACACCTGCCCACCCAACGCAACCGTCCTGCCACATGCAAGGCTTACGCCAATTATCACACCAGGTTTACTGTACATCAGTGGATCACATTGACGTGCACGCCCCGAAACGGACAGGTATTTGGTATTTACATGTGTTTCGTCTAGCACAATAATAGACCCTTTTGTTCACACACATTAAGACATCAGATGACAGTCATCTTATTACTTAGACAGAACTCTCGACTTCTAATAGTACAACTCATATTGGTCTGCCTAGAGCATCCGGCATGCCTGGACTTGCACGTGCGGAAAATAAACTCTGTGTCACCGGATCTCATATACTCTCATCCCACTATAGCGCTAGGTAGGTTTAGCGTAGATAGTGATAGGCGCTTTAGGCAACGTCTTAAGCGTAGCTGCAGGAGTTAATATCTATTTAATAAAAAGAAGAGCGTTAAATGATAGAAAGGCGTGGAAAATGCTAGGTTGGGATGGGTGAAGAATATTGGCGCAGGGAAAAACGAACATGATTACAAGAACTAGGTATGAAGACTTGGCATGCCTGCCTTGTACATCCTGGATAATAACTTGGCCGAAATATTGCTATTATCGAATATGACATATTGCGGAATCTCCGTCACTTTGAGCAGTGTGTGCATTTCACTCATCCTCATCATGGTTATCTAAGGGCCAATGTCGCTCAGACATCTCTCTTAGCCATAGGTCATCCGCCACTTAAGCAAGTGCCTGTTCTCTAATCTTATTTGCCTTCGTCTTCGTACTCTCTAACCGCTTATTAGTCGTCCACCTATCAGATCCCACTTTAAGCTGATCATAGATCTTTTGTATATCACTCTCCGTATCGGGATGCGTATCCCCTAGCCCATAAGTTGTCTACTAATCAAACGTGTTCTGGGCTAACTCGGAAAAACGGTTCGGAAGACATTAGGACGTAAAGAGGTTTTAATGTACCGCTAATATTTATGCACCGGTCCTGACCGGGGATATATTCCCCTTGC